ATATTTCATGTATTACTTATATCACATCACAATTTCTGATGTAAAATTCCTAATATATATATATATATTAAGTAATTTCGACTTTCTCTCAATAATTCGTTAAATTATAAATTTCTTCAAAATTAACGGCAAATCAAAACTTTAGTCAAATTAAATTGAATCTTACATTCATCCAATATATTTTCATTCGTTTCGAAAAAAGTACTCTCGTTTAAGGACTTTCACATGATTTTGTTCTTAGAAAAAATATTTCAATGTAATACAATACAAAGTTTTCTTTTTTCCATTAATAAGTTTAATAATAAAGGTTACACTCAAAATTTATTTAAAAAAAATAAAAAATGATAAGAAACCATATTTTGTGAAAATAAATGAGTAATTTAAGGGGGAATTTAAAAATGAGAAATTTTAAGTACTTAATTAACTCAACCGAAAGAACACCACCTTATTTAAGTACCGTAGTACCGTACGGTAGGGAGAAAGGGTATTTAGGTAAAATCGAAATTATCTAGGAGTGCATTAGGTGAATCTTATCGTGATCTCAAAGCCCATGATCAGTCAAAAAGTTATCATAGCCGTCCAAATAATTGAGGTGGGTCCACCACATACCACTCTGCGTTGTAGACGATTATATCTCTCAGAATCTTGTAGGGTTCAACTATACGAGATTTCTTAAGCTATGGGTCCCACGCGCATGTGCTTACTTTTCTCTGACGTTGATTTTGACATCTCTAAATTTTTATTTTTCTATTTAACAAAGACCATTTTTAAAATTATTTACTCACGATTTCCGGTTTTTTACAAAGAAACGAAATCGAAATTAATTAAGCAGTTGAACATCAACATCTAAAGGTTTAGCTCATTAGGAGCTATGGATTTTATAGCTTTTAAGTTTTTTTTGTCCATAAATATGTAGTGATAAAAGTTTATAATTCCTGAAATGTATCTTAGCTATCAGAGAATAAAATATTATAGCAGTTAGACTTTTAATCCAAGCTAAGCATGTAGTCGAAAACCAAAAAAAAAAAAAAATTTACAAATAAATTCAAACAAATATTCGTTTTAGAAACAATGATTCCGTCAACTAAAACATTTATTTGTTTAATGGTATTTCATATAATCTCATAAACTAAAACAATTATTTAACGAATCTCAACATAACAGAGTCCTAATTTTTGCAACTAACATTCCATCCAGAAAATTTATTTATTTTAAAACTTATTTCAACAGTTTTAACGGCTAAAAAAACCGCCGGTATTGAAAGAGACACCATCGCATCGGAAGTTTTTACTAAATAAAAAGATGGGAAAAGTATTGAAATACTATGTTTTATACTTTTACAAAAAAAAAAAACAGAAATATTAGGAAATTTGGAGAGAGACAAAACTCTAAAAAGTAACGACCCTGTCCTATTGATCTGTGTCTTCGAGGACGACGGTACTTGTTTTTTCATTTTTACTTTTGGTCCAATTTTAATTCTTTCTAAAAATTATATGTAATGAACTAATTATACATATTATATTTAAATTATTAAAATACACAACATTATTAAATCGAAAAAGTGGCAGCTTTTATTAGCTTCGCCATTAACATAGCTATTTTTGGGAACTTTTTTTACTTATTATCTCCCCGCAGAGAAATTTGACTAAGTCCACGAGACTCAAAGACTCACGTTACACAAAAAAATTCACTAATGAAGCAAAAGATAAGTCTCATTATAAATTAAATGATTATACTTAAGTCTCATTCATCAGATATTAAAATCTCTCATTCTCTCTCACAAGGTATACACCACCATGAGACTATGAGAGTAAACTTCACCAGCATTTTTTAAAGGGGTTTCACAAATCGGAGAAGAGAACTAAAAACAGTAATTATTCTCATTGATTAGGTTTTTCTCTAAAGGGTTAGTCTCACTCTAATACAATACTAAACCCATATTTTAGCCAAAACATCATAAAAATTAGTTTGCTAAAAACAGAGAAGCATTTTACTCAGCAGCTTCCTCTGTTTTCTCCTAAAACCATCATCTCAAATCTCC